CGCTTGAAGTTCTCCACGCTACCGTCCGCGGTAAATCCAGCAGGATCCCAAAATCCGACTGGCTCCTGAACACCAAGCTCGTTCTCAAAGGCGTTGAGAGTGACCTGTGTTGGGAAATGCAAGAATTCAAGATTGACGGCAAAACTAGTGGTTGGAATTCTTTTTCAAAACCTACAACTGGTACAATATTCAGGCGACCAATGCTGGTTGCGTACAAAATTGACTTCCTTGAGTCAACCCAAACGACAGCGTGTCGCCACTGTGGCATCAGGCGTCTGCAAGCGCGTCTCTCTGCTGGGTTTCGCACCAGCTGTGGCTTGATGCTACCAAGTGCCTGTGGGAAAATATTCTAGCATCAGCTTAGGTTTCAGGGAATTGACATCTTGAACAAGCGATGTAAGCGAAGGCGTCCAACTCAAAAAGCAAAAACATCGGCCCAGTTCGGTAACTTCCCCCATTTGCTGAATGTGGGACATCAGGGCAGCTTCATGCAAAGCATGCAACCGTCGCCCTGCCTTGCGGCCAGTGGCGGTCAAAGCGGCAACTGCAGCACCGGCCACTGCGAGAGAAGCGGTCTTGTTGGACGCCGCCTGGAAGAACGGCATGTTGCTTGGCATGCACGCATGCACCATGAGATGGAGAAGTCATGGAGGACTCCATGGACCCACAAAATCCTGTGGACTTTGAGTTGCAAATTTCATGTGTGAAACATCCTGGCCAGGGACCGACACTTTCGTTGGGAGCGAAACTGGACAATCTTCTTCGTGACACTCCCAAGCATTTGTCTGCCGTCTGCAAGGTGCTTAACTTATCATGTGGCCTTCTTGCTCAGCGCCTCCTGAGTGATAAACATGTCCAATGAAGCGCTAGTAAACTCAGTTTTGCAAGCGTTGGCAACAAGGTCTGCAGAGTACGAATTTCAGGTCACAGTACAAAGTCAGAACAGCAAAGAAAATCAATCTTATTCATTTTGAGACTCTCAAGGTGTCCCTGTTTCCTCTAGCTGTGTTTCTCAACGACAGTGGCTTCTCGACCTCCATCCCAGGGATCTGGCCTCCAGGGCTGGTTTGGATGCGACAGATGGTGCGGTGGTGGCCTCGTAGAGCTGAAGAGGTAAGAAGATCAGAAATTCAACCAACACGAAAGGTGATGATGTTCCATTGCAGAAAGTAAGCTCAGCTGTTCCGAAGCTTTACTCTTGGGTCTTTCTGTGTCTGAAACGAAATCGTCCGAATCACACTGAGTCGACCATGGTGGCACAGCCAAGTAGCACGAAGGTGGCCCGTGGTCGGCGCCGAGACGAAACTCGCACCAGTGAACAGTGCTGCTGCCCCTGCAGCGCAGGAGCAGTGAGCAGCCACCTACCACCCTGGAGTCATGTTTACAAGCACTGTTCTGGCGAACTCCATCACCCTCATGGTGTGTCTTCATGACGGCCACTGCTGTATAAAGAAGGGAAAAAAGAATTGTCCATCTCCTGCGGCAGCAGCAACAGTGGTCCGGGAAGTAGAAGCCATCCTGAGTGGAGCGTACCGAGCGGGGCAAAATGTTCTAGGGCGATGCTGCAGTGATGCTACTGTTCTCGGCAATGTTTCTTGGAGGGCCAGGCAACTCCAACATCTTGGAAGAACAAGCTTTCCTGATTGATGCTTTCCAATTGCACTAGACAAAGCAGGAAGCAAACATAGCACAGCCGTCGCAAGGCATGTGGGTCAGTAGGAATCTTGCCCACAAACATAAAAACTGGGAAGGGGCGCCTGAAACCTGCAATTCTTCAGTATCTACACCCTGCCTTCGAATCTGCCAAACGGTCGCGACTCAAAGATCGACAACTGGTTGCAGACAAAGGCACATAAATATGGAAAATAGAAAAAGAGCTGAAAACGATTGGCCAAAAATGGGAGCAGCTTTCGCTCACCCAGCCAGGCTGTTAAAAGAACTTGAGCCGGACACACTCCAATGACCGCAAGAATTAAGCTAAAGCGAGCCTCTCTGCAACAGACATATTGACGAACGAAGGATCGGAACTGCAAACACTTCAGAAACGCCTCTTCAACCTGAAGTTTTGCAAGGCGTCATCGCCATCGCTATACATCCCAGGAATCATACACCTATATAAAAATGTTGAACGGGGGTGTGTATCGATTGCAAAAATGATTGGTTTGCAGGTGTCAACATATCTTTCAATATCAAAACTACACTGTGCAGAATGTTCAAGAACTGTCTTTATTCCTTTCGCTTCCATCGATTTCTCTGTTCGAGGACTGCCATCTACGGGTCCGAAGTGTCACAACCAATTGTCAAAGGAAAGGATATGCTGCCATCTGATTGGGGAATCCTCACAAATTCTATCAATCATATCCACTGCGTACGAGGGTCACCTCTGGAGGCAGGCCAAGTTTCAGCTGTTTATTATATCTCATCCCTCGATACGAAAAGGTTTTACAATCCATTCTCTATGGAATTCTGTAATGTCAGCTGATCCGATGAAGTGTCCTCTGAATCTGGTGCTTTCAGACAACGGTGCAGCATACAAACGAAAGTTTGTGATATGGTGAAGGTGCAGGTGCTGAATCGCAAACAGTGTACAAACTGGTCAGTCTAAAGAGTCTTTGTGACTTCGACAAAGAGTCTACAAGTGACTCTTCCAAATCACAAGACTCGGAGCCAATGCACCATTGTTCAAAGGCCCTTTGTGCTTGACATGATGAGTAGTATGACCACCAAATGTTTGGGTGAAACACAAACCTGGCAAAAACTAACAATTCTTCTGTGTCCACAGCGGCAAAAATCAATTCAAACGCCTCTTTTCTCTCACATCACCAGGGCAACGCAGATATGCAACAACGTCTTCATCGCAAAGCGCGGAGCGGAGAGGCAGTGTAGTTGGCCCAGTCACCCCATGCGCTTCCAGTCAAGCCATCCTGCCGAGTTTCACATTGAAGTATATATGCAGCTCAAAAATGTGAAAAAGGATTGTTTCGCCAAAATGACTGTGTTTTAAGTTCTATTCCATTGGTCAGTCACCAACTTCCAAAAACAAACAAACAACGTTCTTGCAAGAACAACTCGTGTCATAAACTCTACGCCGCACCTGAAAGAACATGCCGATGATCGCCATCATCGCAAGACGGCCATTGGCAAGTTCGGCGCTAAGTTTTTTTGTTTTCTCAGCAGGATCGGATGATGTCAGGACCTTGAAGCCAAAGTCTCCAGCGGCAGCAGGTGTGCCAGGAGATTGATCCTGGGAAACCTCGCAGAATGCCATGTAGGCCAAGATCTGCCCCCAGCCTGCTGCAGGCACCTTGGAGATTGCTGCAAGTCCGTTTGGCACGTCGGCAAATTTAAGACCGGCCGATGGGGACAAATAGCCTGGGAGCTTGCCGGTGATCCTTGGACAATCAAACATGTCGATGCACATGTTCTAACAGCCTTCAGTCCAAAGTTTGCGCATGATGTATTCAACAAACAAGTTCCAAAAATCTTGTTTCAAAGCTTCAAGATAGTCTTCAAACAAAGCACGCCATTGGCTATTTCATCAAGGTGCGCGTTTAACAAGTTCAACACGGGTATCTTCGCAACACTGAAAAACAGTCGTTTTCTTTGCAAGAAGGAACGAGATGGGGAAAGTAGCCCAGCAACTAAGGTCGACAGCCAGAGCTCAAACATATAACACCGCGCCACAGGCGCCCCGGCCCAGAGCGGTTCCTCAAAGAGGGGTAAAGGAAAACAAAACTAGAGTCCTGCTCGGAGCGTGTGTACTGTGTACTCGCATCTGAGACTGGAAGTCTAGAGGGTGTGACATATATGCGCTTACCCAACAAATCTCGCCTGGTACCACCTCTGCCATGCCCCAAATCCGCTCACCAACGTGGCATGGGGGCCCGCGCCCTCCCACGACCCTTGCTACCCACGGCCCTTGTAAAACGCTTTGGAAGTACTGCCTGTGTTTACTGCCTGTGTTTCACTTAGAAACCATGGAGACCTATCCTTAGCAAAAGCCACCAACTTGGCTCGATCCCTGAAATGATGAGGCCGAGGGCTGCCTCGGCGTCCGCTAGCTTCACTGCGTCGCGCAACTCGATGTCTTCATGCAACAACTTGCTCGACAGGGATCCT